TTGTTGCGTTGGCACCATGCTTGTTTTCAAGCCGGTGGTAAATATATATATATATATATTCAAAACATTCTGTAAAAATCCTATGGGGCATGATAAGCTTTAGCTTTGTTAAATCACCCATAGTAAAACTTTGACTTTGATTTTACTCTCTCTCTCACGAAAGTGCATGTTTAATGTTTGTTAAAACTGAACTCAACTTTATGAAAAAACGAAAACGAAATGTGTATAATTTTATCAGTATACTTCTGCACCGACCCAAACTAAAATCGAAACTAGGATGCTACAAGGCCATTATCACTGTTCACAGTGACAAGGTACAGACAATTCATTTGCACGACGCGTTTAATTCGACTGTCAGATCAAATAATCGATCGATGATTCCCACATAAGTAGCCCACAGCAAAATGGTCCCAATCAAGCAACAACCTCTGGAGGGTAGAATAGGATTCATGAGGTTTACTACTGAAAATAGGCTTTTAAAATGGGTTGTCATTTCCGTTACCAACAGCTTCCCAGATCACACTTTTTAGCTTTACGCACGATATATATATATATCGCCTGATTTTCCCCATTAAGTGTGCCATATGGCAATCCTTCGGTTGACCGCTTCCTCCTTCCTCAAAATTTTATCTTTCTATGTTCAATAAAAGAACGTAGAAACGAAAAATGAAACTGAAAACATGAAAATACTCATGCTTATCTATATATACAAAAGTTCTGATGCCTCGCCGCGAGTAAAACAAATGCGCCATACGAGTCGCTGACGCTAGAAGACAGATACCGTCTGTGAACCTTTGAGTGAATGGAGAGCACAGCTGATCAGGGAAATATGAAAACAAAACGACAGTGAACAATAAATGACAATAAATGACATTCGCGGTTCGATAGAAATAAATTACCGTCAGCACTAACACAGTTATGAACGGTTTCTTTTCATTTCAGAAGCAACTGAAGGAGAAAATACTCCACCTGGCCCGAGAGGAATATTTGCGAGTTCGAAATTTGATTAATCGTGGTCTGCTATCCGAAGAAGAGATTGTCTGTCTGAAGAAAGAGTATTCAACAAAACCGCCCAGCTGGATCCCTCGAATGCAGATAAGGAAACCAGTGGAAAAATCTCTACGCCCGTACACATATATCCCAGAGATTCCTGTACAGCAACGTGAATACGACAGTCTGCACAATCTGGTATGTATGTCGGCAGATTCTGTTTTCTCGTACGCAGTACTGATCCAACTTGTTGATTTCCACATTGATATAGGCACTGAGTATCTAATATGCGATGCATAAGCACAGAAGGAGGGTAAATGGTACTTTGCATAGATATTTCATTGACTTGACCCAGTCACTAATGTAAAATGCAACTGTGTATGTTATATTATTTATGTTTGTATATTAAAAGAGGGAAAATGAGTGGTGTACACTTTGGTTCACGCCAAGGTAATTAGTGTTGTGTGGGTCAGTTTATTCTGCCTACAAAAGATCAGTCTCTGTGGTGATCCAACACTCTACGACATCGTCAGCGAGTCGATACAGATTCAGATCGCTCAACGGGAAGCCGGTGTTCTGGACTAATCGCAATCCCTCAGGTTCAAACAGAAATCATGCGTCCAGAATAAAATGAACAACGATTGGCCAATCCTGCATTCAGACAACCACATTCCTTTGCACATATTACTTAATCCCATTGATTTCTTGCGATAAGTGAACCACTACTTATGTGGCCTTCCCGTGTCTCGGCTTCGGGGCACCTTAGTGAACAATGATGTATTTTGATTTAAATTACGATTATGATTCCGAATTGCGCTCATTACGATGACTACAAACTGTGACGTAATCCAAATGGCTTCATCACATGTCAACGATTTTCGATTGGGATTGTAACACAACTTGGAACGCATACATCATGTCTACCTGATAACTTCATTGCTTCGAAATCTGGAAATTCACTTTTCTTGCTTTCATCAGTATTGCGGAATTGCGTTGCATCGTCAGGCTAATCAATTAATTGAGCGAGCTCTACACCAACCGCAGAGTTAGATGTATCGGTACACCTTCAACGAATTGATTTATAAAACGTATGTAATTAAATCTACAGAGTCCCAGAGTCAGTCTGTTTTGATCTGTGCTATGTAAAATGACATAGTTGTTTGATAACGATGATGCTGATGATGATAATGATGATGATGATGATGATGATGACGATGATGATGATGACGATGATGATGAATTCGGTGGCTTTTATTTTCTTAACTGATTATTTAAACCCTGAAAGATATAAACTAAGTAGGAGTAATAGGAATTATCTTGTGTGTTTTATTAAAACGAAGAATTAAACAGATGAAAAGGAGAGATTTTTCACAAGTGTCCTCGAGACTTTGAGACACGAAATACTTTTTAGTATCTAAGGCAGACGTACGAGTTTTTCCTTAAGAACACTGACCTGAGCCTTTGACTCAAATGTCGGACGGATATTTTTGTTTGTTTGGAAACCCTAATAGTATCCCTTAAAACCATC